GTTTAGCTAGTTTAACTCCTACACTGGTTTTGATATAACTGGAGCACATAGAAGTATATCTGAAAACAGCTTTTAAAACATTTGAATGAGCAATTTGGATAAAGAGTGAAATTTAATTCTAGATGAAGTTTGACTTGACATATCTTTGGGAATCCTTGCCTTGTCAATATAATTTTTAGTAAAAAGTAAGTGTATGTTCCTTGTCCATCCACTTATAGGACGCTCCAGCTCTGATTGGAGAGATGGACTCTTCAGGTAGTCTGAACGCTCACGCTCTCCTTCACCTCACCGAGCGTGTTCGAGCCAGAACAGTTTTCCAGGTGGGTTTCTTTGTGTCTTTCGGGGCCGTTTTTGTCCATTTCAGGTGCAGTATGTATAAGAATCCAATCCAAACTGCTAGCCAGCCGCTCACAATCTGTGCTGTATTTCAGAGCCAGCAGTCTCAGTTTGTAACCTGGCAGTTTGAAACCGAGTACAGGGGGAGTGACTTTACTGCTGCGGTGACAGTGGCCAACCCAGACATCCTCAGAGAGTCTGGTGAGGAACGACAAAGACTCAACTAGGACCAATTTTTAGCATTTCAACCAAATATACACTTAAATAAAATAATTGCAGAGGTGCATGTAAATGTGTATTTTTTGTCTATCTTGTCACTTTGTTTATTCGATCCTTCCCTGCAGTCATCCTGGTGGCACATTTTCTGCAAAGTGTGTCATCTAGCCTGGTGTTGGGAGGAGAACTGGTGTACCACAGAGGACGAGCCGAGGAAGGAGGAATCCTGACCCTGGCTGGACAGTACTCGAGTGAGAAAATGTCATTACAGAACATCTCTAAGGGCATCTCAGCTGTTAGTCTTCTATGACATTTCACAGGATTCATTAATTATTAGCCTGATTCGTTAAGACACTTTTTTAGTTATCTATATATTCTAAATGTAAAAAACATTAGCTACAACACAAAAGTGTTTTTAAGTCAGAAAAATACAACCAGTTTTGCTCAGCACAGCCATAAAGCGTTCCTGTCTGAATTCATTCATTTGGCCTTTTCTACTTTTTCTTTCAATTATTGAAAAGATAATATCTTTCTAATTTGGTAAGATTAAATGATGTGAAATGTGTTTTAAAAAAAAATAATAATAATAAACATATGATCCTTGAGTGCTTTCAGCTTTG